AGTCCACCCTTACCCCCCCCCCCCCTCCATTATTTGCTAACCTGCCACGTTAATGAAAAGCTGATCGCATTAGATTAATCAACCGCGACTGTCACCTGCTGGCCTCAAGACCCCACGTTGTGCCTGTCAAGGCTGTATGGGTGCTATTCTGTGAGTACAGGAAGCAATAATGATCCCACACATTCCTCCTTTCAAGATCATAAGTAGCCTATTTCAGGAACACAGGGAGCAAGAAAGATCCTGTGTTGTGCCTTCAAGACTTTATATACACTATTCTACAGAAAGCAGCCCCACGTTGGCTTTCAAGAATATATGTACTGTAGGCTATTCTATGGATTTGGAAAGTAAGAAAGACCCCATATTGTAATTTTCAAGCCCCCACACCCACTATTCCACAGGAAGCAGGAGAGACCCCACATTGTGATTTTCAAGCCCCCACACCCACTATTCCACAGGAAGCAGGAGAGACCCCACATTGTGATTTTCAAGCCCCCACACCCACTATTCCACAGGAAGCAGGAGAGACCCCACATTGTGATTTTATAGCCCCCACACACACTATTCCACAGGAAGCAGGAGAGTCCCCACATTGTGATTTTCAACACTGTATAGACTGTATATTGTATTTTCAAGATCCACTCTAGGTATAGGAAGCAGGAAAGTTCCTATGAATGCTATTCTGTGGGTACGAAGTAACATTCCACCACAGCCACTCTACCTTACTCCTGTCTAGAGTATTAAATTGGGCAGCAGGATTCATGAGATTGATTCCTGGCAGCTGGGGACATTATCCTAGACATATCCTGGCCCCATGAAGGGAACAAACAAAAAAAATCAATTCACAAATTCATTTATCAAGCATTTCTGAGCACAGGTTAGCATGAGAGCCAATCATACCTTGTCCGACGTCTTTAATCAATTTCCAGATCAAGAAAACAGACAAAAATGTGTACATTGTCTGTCACCAACTCAAGCTGCCCTTTGTCCCCTCATATGACAGGATGTGACTGGGTTCACCAGAAACCGCTACCGGATTAAGGCCTTATCCACACGTACGAAAAAGCTGTTTTTCTCCTCTGTTATAAAAAAAATCTCTGTCCACATGAAAATGCTAAAACGGGGTGTCAAGAGCATGCCAAACCAGTAGGGGGTGATATAACTCTAACCGCAAAGCCATGTCGGCCAATCAGACGCCTTATTACCAGTTCTGCTAGGCTAAAAACAGCTAATGTAAACAGCGAATGGCCAAAAACTCCAAAAACTCTTTCCCTGTTTACACATTGACACTGAAAATTTTCACCCTGGATGGGGCTTCACAAAAGCTCCATTGTTCCATTGGCATGTGGATGAATGGCCAGAATACAAAGCTACCTTTTTAAAAATCGCCGTGTGCGTGTGGACAAGGCCTAAGAGGAGAACAGCACAGAAATACATAAAGACACAGACCTGAACAACCACATTCCGAGACAGCAGTCCAGCTCTACATAATCTTTCGTTATTAATCTTAAAAACGCTACAATTGGTGAATGTCCTGGAGCAAAACGAGTACGCCGGAGGAGTTTGATGTGTTTCTTTTTAATTTTTATTTTAGAGACATTGCTTGTTTGTGGCGTGTGTGTCCGCTTGAGGTCTTGTATTACAATTCAGTTAAATTCAATTCAGCTTTATTGTCATTATAGTACACAGAGGTATGTTCCCTGCGATGGGTTGGCACCTGTAACCTCCAGGACCGACTCCGGAACCCCCCCACAACCCTGAACAGGATAAGTGCTTACAGAAGATGGATAGATAGAGTATACAGAGGTACACCTATGACGAGAAATGTCTCCTGACTCCTAGGGCTGATGCAGCAAGTTTAAAATAGAATGATAGAATGAAATACTGCGATAGAATAATAACAAATAATATGATAATAGATTAACGAATAGAATAAAGGGGCACAACCTCGTAAAACTTCATATAAAAAAGACAATACTGTATACCTTGAAGTATGAAAGTGCAAGTGTGTAGTATGTTAACAGTATAAGAAGTAGATACTGTAAGGTATGAAAATACTCAGATTTGTAAACAATTGTAATCGGTGATGTGTATGATAGATAAGGAATCAGTACAGTACAGTACAGTATTGAAATTGCAGTGTGGCGTCAGGACAGGGTTCCGGTAGACTTGGAACGCCTGATAATTCTCACCATGTCTTCTGACACAAGTCAGGTCACTGTCTTTCTGCAGTGGAAGGATTATATCCCGTTCCGTTTAACCCAGTGAAACCCACCCTCGAACTGGTGCAATTTGTTTTATCTGCAAATATCTCTGACGGCTTCACGCGTCCATTTCCTTCAAAGCTTGCCCGGGAAGATCGTTCCCCGCTGATTATTTCACATTTATCTCTCTCCGTTCTGGATTTCAAGCACATTATATTAAAATCACCCTTTCTCGCTTCACCCCCCTCCATCAAGCTAAACAATCAGAAGCTGCTTGTTGAGCCCGTCTGAAGCTGCTGCCATTGTTAGACGATGGCTCCATTCGTTGGACCTCCTTGATTACATTGACATTTCAGTGGGGTTTTCAGCTCAAACCAGCCCACGGTAAATGCTGCTTCAATCAGCTGTGTCACAAATATTATCCTGCACTTGAGCTAGACTTGGAAAAGCCTAAAAATATGAAACAATGTTTTGGTATTAACCAAAAGAAAACATATAAGTGTGAGTTTGAGGATTAAGAACTAAAGAACAAAAAATGTATTTTTTATGGCATCATGAAAAATATAAGAAGGAGTTCATGCTTTGGAAGTCAAAACATTTTGCTCTTTCCCATACTCCCTGCACCAGTCATTGTTATTGCTGTTACTGGTTTAGATGGTTCAGATGCCTCCATTCCATTTCCTCCTTAACATGCCACTGGCAGCCAATCATGCAGCGGTGAGGGGGCGGAGCCTCACCTCATGGTGTAGAGAGGGGGCGGAGCCTCACCTCATGGTGTAGGGAGGGGGCGGAGCCTCACCTCATGGTGTAGGGAGGGGGCGGAGCCTCACCTCATGGTGTGGAGAGGGGGCGGAGCCTCACCTCATGGTGTGGAGAGGGGGCGGAGCCTCACCTCATGGTGTAGAGAAGCGTCCCATTGTCCACCAGCCGGAGCAGTTTGTTGGGCGTGGTCATGTTGTGGGCCACCGACTTTTTGCCGTTGTGGAAGAAGGTGTCAGGCGTCCAGATCTTGCTGGCCAGGAGGTTGTTGAGGGGTAGCACCTGCATGGGGCCGTCAAACTTCAGCCGCTCGTCCCTCCAGCTCTGACGGAAGAACACGTCGATCGTGTATTCCTGGGGGGAGGCAGGGGAGGCTGACTGAAATGTCCCTTGATTTTGAGTCTCCTAATGCTGTATATTGATCAGCAGTTCAGACTTCAATGCTGAGGATTCTGGGATAGCCTGAAAGCTAATACCCAACAGAAACAGTTTATGGTCAAAAAGCTGCTTTTAATAGCTGTAACTGAGGTAGAACACGTTATTTCTGAGCTCATGGGAGTTTTACTTACAGAAAAATGTTTCGAGGGCAGAATTAAAGATGATTGGTTCAAAGAGATACCCAATCAGATTATGGAGGAGGTGGGTCCAAGCAAGTAGAGGAGGCGGGGCTAACATGACTAATCAGATGTCTTGGTCCTGCCTCCTCTAGTTTGCTGGACCCACCTCCTCTATAATCTGATTGGGTATCTCTTTGAACCAATCATTTTTAATTTTGCCCTCAGAATTAACATTTCTGTAAGTAAAACTCCCACAAGCTGTTTCTGACAGGTATTTGTTTAAAGCACACTGCCAAGGTAAAACAAAATATTATAATTAAGGATGACAGAGCCCATGCTCCAATTACTGAACAGGAAGCAGAGAAGTAGAATATTGCAAATAAACTTTATTACTATTATCTTAATGAATGTATGTTTTGGTACAGTAGCAACCTGAAGTATAATCTGGCTAATGATGCTTGGGATTACTCAGATTTTCAGGGCTGATCAGACCAAGCTGTGTAGGGTGAGAGTTACAGTTATCTCTTAATTCTGTTTGTCTTCTTTTTTTCTTTTTGCAAGGCCATTTGCCACAGTATGTTTTAACTCCATTCCGATACGTTAAAATATGACTTTTATAATGGCTGTCAGAATTATTTTGCATCCTTGTGACTTTTTCTTCTCGAAAGTGTAACATCGGATTGAATTTGTCACAGGCGTTCCGGCCATCAGCAGCCGTACCTCCGTACGCCGAAGAAAACGAATCGATTTGATGTGTAAATCTGAGGCATGACAGGATGATGGAAAAAAAACACAGTAATAACAGAATCTGTGGATTAGCTGCTCCCCTGAAATTCAAGTCGGGGGAGGAAAGAATGCTAAATTATTCCCGGCTGCAACTAATTCCGCCGGTCCATTCAAAGACGGAGAATATATTCATGGTTTTCACGCCACCTCTTTGCAGCATTAAGGGGAAAATCGTGTCATAATCATTTTCTCATCATAATTATTCTGTGACGATATTGTGAATTATGAGGGATCCTAAGCCATTTTAGTCCTTATTTTGTATTGATTCTTTTCAAACAGTCAGGGAGACAATGCTGACCCCATACATATGTAAACACAATTAAATTTTCTATAAACATTCACAGAAGATTTTCCAGGACATTTACTGCACCAGCATTCCTACCAAGGGGCTCAATTAATCATTTTACTGTAGGCTTTTTTTCCCCGTGAAAACCATCCTCTTTATGTTTAATTTGCTCTGGGCCAGCAGACGTTGTAGGAGTTGAGGACAAGGAGCTGTAATCTGAAGCTTGCCCATTAAAATCGCAGAGGTGACTGTTGCTGTATCCATTAACAAGGTATTTATGAAGTTTCAGGTTTAAAGAATCTGTACTTTAATCAGTAATAGCTAGTTCAGAAAATACTTGTGTCAGCTGTAAACCGGAGTCCCGAGCTTCTGTCATATCAAGGGGAGATGATTTCATGGTGATGAATCTTGGTTTAAATTAGGCAGCATAACACCTTGTCAGACTTGAGTTCAGATCAATGCAACGACTTAAAAGTTCTTGCCGAATGTTATTTCTCATGTGCTAATTTGTCGGTCACCTGCAGAACACGGATCCGTTTGTCGTGTCGCTGACGTCATCGTGTTTTCGGCAGCATGCCTGTGCACTTGTTTACACATTTATAATGACCAGGTGCACCTTGGGTAATAAGAAGAAGGGTGATGCAATCAAAACAGAAACCTTAAAGCCAGAAGGTCTGCTGGTCCATTATTTGCCTGGACTCACAGCCCAAACCAGGGTGGAGATGCCAAGCTGTTCTGAGCTGCAGAGGGTCTGGATTCCCTCCTTATCTCCAATACCGATAAGAAACATCTGAAGTAATTCAACATTATAACTGTGACTCCCTCCTTGTACGTGACCCGCATGTTTTCGGACCCGGGCCAGATGCAAATAGATTCCTGTGCATAATTTCCAAATTAAAGCAAATTAAGCTTCGTTTTGAAGACGATTCCCCTCGCGAGGATGGTGTATTCAGGCTATAATTTTGTTGTTCAAACCAATTGGTTTTAAGAGCCGTTCTAATCAAACAGAGATTAAAAGAGTTATGAATTAACTGGCCATCGGGCACGCTGATAAACAAATAAAGCTTGTGGTAACAGGGCAATAGAAGAATAGAGATCTGAAAGCCAAATATACTGCCTGAGAAAACTCCTTTTTCGCATGGTTTCTAATCAAGGTTTACTTTGTTTGGAAGAATATAATTAGCGAACTGAGTGAAGCTGGGTGAGTGAATTTGAAAACTGGTGAAAGCGTCGCTTAGAAGTTTATTTATTCAGACTTTTGCACAGCAACTGCGGAGCCATCAGTATTCGTGTGGGATCCCCATCTGCACTCTGCATTTCTCTCCATTTCTGCAATAAGGAAGTCCATCCCAGTGCCCTTGGGCCTAAAACCAGCAGCAGGTTTCATGCAACATTTATGATACTCTTGCATCCCGATGAACAGTCAGAAACGGACGAAAACCGAATGGCGCCTCCGATTTTCCTGACAAATTGACGATTAAAAGTAAACAATTTAAGATGAGGACACGGCTAATTCATCAGTGAGGTCGAATAATCCTAAGTAACGCATCGGTGGAGGGAATACGGCGGGCTCACGCGCTCTCCCGCAGGCGGGTTCCAGGACGCTCAGGCTGAGCGATTCTCTGAATAACCGGCGTCTATAAAGGGAGACACTTTAAAAGCTTCAGCTGAGGATGTCACTGTTGCGTCTTCCCCTCTCGGGAAATATACCGGTACATTCAAGAAAGAATGTTAAGCTTTCTGATATCTAGGCCACTTGTTTTTAGTGTCCTAAACCTTTGATTTATAACTTCATAATCATAAGGATTACATAAATATCTAAGTCCTTTGGCTCTGTATATTGAATGCTGCGCTAAAAAGACTTGGTTCTGACGTGGCGGCCAGGATATGGTGCTCGTGGGAGTTTTACTTACGCAAAAATGTTCTGGCAGAACAAAAACAAAAAATTGGTTCAGAGAGATAACCAATTATATTGTAGAGGAGGTGGGTCCAAGCAGCTAGATGAGGTGGGACCAACCAATCGGATGTCTTGGTCCCACCTCCTCCATTTGCTTGGACCAACCTCCTCTACAATGACTGGTCATTGTCCAATTTGATTGGTCTGATCATTTTTCATTCTGCCTTCAGAACATTTTTGCGTAAGTAAAACTTCCTTGAGTGGATATGGCTCGAAAGTGAACATAGCATGGCTGAGCTATGAATGTGATATGAATATAACATGGCCCGGATTTGGCTATGACATCAATAGCTATAGAGGCAACCCATAACAGACAAGCCACCCCTGGTATATTCAAGCAGTTGATGTAACCAAATACTATGTGTAGGGTGCCAAATCCTTTCAATACTATGTGTGCCCTAAACAGGCTGCTTCTCTGATTATTTAATATGTTTGATGTTTTCATCTTCAATTATTCAATCATTATTCATTAAAAAGAAAAAAAAATCCTTCCCCTGTTCTTGAAATTTTGTTTATCCATTTCAGGCGTTCGTCTGTGTTAATTACAGCATGTACGTTATGTGTTAATTATGAGGTTGAAAGCACAGTGGAAAATTATGAAGTAAATATCAGAAAAGTTTCATCTTTTTAAAAACTGAGAGGGCTGAAGATTACTGGTTACAAAGACCAGAGTATTTTGTGTCTTCATAAATTTTTCTCTGACTTTTCTAATATACATAAGTTTCAGGCACTTCAAAGCTTCTGTAAGCAAATCGAGGTCTCCGATGGCAACACGGTCTCAGTTTTTCATTAAAATCTCTTTTTTTATCGACCAAACTCCAGCACCCTTCGAAACGTATCCAGCCAGTGAGATAACAACATGCAGATGTTTGCCAAACAGCTTTTCCGAGGTGAGGGAGCACAGACTCATACCTCGTTAACGAGAGTATGCAAATGAGCCCCAATTCGTCGTGGAGCACGCTCCGGCGATTTGCAAATTCCGCGCGAGCCAATCCGCATCGGCCCTGGAATTCTAAAAGGCAAACCCGGCAACCGCGTCTTCCCCCCCAGGGGGTGAGGGGCTGTGCCCTCATCAACGGAAATCCAGAGCAGGAACATCTCCTTGAGAATTATTTCCTCTACATCTGACCTCTGGCTGTTTCCCCACTTAGTTTACTATAACATTAAATTGCCTTCCAACCCTAATTGCAACGATGCCGCCAACATTAATTGTTTCCGTCTTTGTACGTTACCGTGCCAGTGTTTATATATGCTCCTAGCGACTATGCTGGGTAAAAATATAGAAATAACTGGAAGTGAGTGGGATAAAAGGGGCAGTGAGGCACAGAGCGACAGCTGAGGGAGCTCGCTAGTCCTTTCGTGGTCCATTCTTTAGGGGTTCTGACCCGATTCTAAGCGGCGATCCGCTGAGACTGAGAACTCCTGGCAGCACAGGTGGGAGAATGGACTAATGGCATAAGTGAGAGCTACGGGCAGCTGGGCAGCCTGCGGGAAATTAGGGAGGTCTGAGCAGTGACTAAGAGATCGCTTACCGCAGCTTAGATCTTCTGACCGACACGAGCGCGCTGTCAACCAGCCAAGAAGAGTCAGAGCATTTGGCAAGAGGGAAGCCACCTTCCTAAATGGGCCCAGTATCTTAGGCATTCCTCTCAAGTTTGGGCCGGCATTGATTTTTGCGGCATCCTTGTGAAAACAAGGACTCCAGAAGGCAACGAAGGACTGACTCAGGAACAGCAGGCTAAGGTGTCAGACTCGTCACCCCGAATAA